TCAGATACACAGTTTATAACTATTGTTAGGCACAAACTGGACACCAGTCTGTTAGCACCATCAAACCAGAAGCTTTCATCTCATGATCTTAACATGCTAATGATACATTTTGGATTATGGTGCTTAATAGTGGTGAAAGATGGGACAGTTTAATGGGATACATTTATTTTTTTAAATTAATCTTTTCATTCAAACACACAGGCCACAAGAGGTCTCAGTTTGGGCGGGGACAGATCATCACAGTCGGGGATTGGTGGAACCCGTCTGTCAATCAAGCTGATCATCCATCCGGAGTGCTGTGGGCAGGATCAGACCCCAGAGGGGATGGATGTGCTCAGGGATACTAGACATACATGATCTCCTCTCCTCTTCCCTGTAGATACATTGACCACAAAGGCAAATTCCTACATATGGGATTTAGCGCAGAAATACTATAAATATTTGGTTTTTACAGGTAAAAAAAACTCTTTATAACAGTCACAGCGCAGCGTCATAGCAACACATTGCCCCTTCATGAAGATGTTCCTGTTGTATGTTTACAGTTCACACAGACGTTTACTGTATGAAATATGTGATACTTGAGCAGCAGAACATTGAATCTGTTTATAAAGCCAAAACTGCAAATGTCTCCTAACAGTTTGAATTTAAACTGTACACCTTATGTCCCTCCACATCCTCTTGATTTCAAGCTACTTTTTTAAGTGTGCTATTTTGTTTGTACAACAACGAATAGGAAAACAAATTTTGTGTACCACTACATTACATACCAAAGATGCCCTTCCTCAAATCTTTGGGTTGAGATAATTATTGGTTTCAGTCACTTTAATTAGTTTCTGTTTATCTGGGGTTTGTTAGAAGCGACAACAATACCATTAAATACTGTATATATACCCCTACTTCCTCAATAAGTGATAATTGCTTCTTTATTCTGGTCGATAGTTTACAAAACAAATTGAGTTAGATATTTTAGGAATGTCAATCAGTGTTATATCTCCATTCAAGTATATTTTCTGCTGTTGTTGGAAACAAAGAGATTTAAGGAATCAGTCTGTATATCAAATAATCTATGAAATATGCTGGATATATTTGTGATTTTGTACATTTTTATGAATGACAAATAAATGTAATTTATTTTCAAGTGATGCTTCTCATAGTTCTCTGTTCATGGGCTCATAATCCTCAACAGATTCTTCTTTACCTGATGAAGAGCTGATTTATGCTCAAAATATTGGTTCCCACTCGACAGGTGTTTTGATGACCACATGGCCTTCTCCACTGGCACAACTTTTAGGACATATGATCATGATATGGTATGGCAGGGACATGTAATATAATTTTGGCTCAAGCAAAGAAAGGGCACTCACCCCACCTACAAATTCTCTATTCCCAACCCGACGTTGCCACAGGACATTGCCAAATGACACATAACATGCCGCCTTCAAACACTTTATTCCTTAAAGAAACCAGACAAATTTTCATGAAATGAATTAATTGTTCAGATGTTTAACCCAGTTCAGTCACATTAGACCAATGGTTTCTTCCAGAAAGGAAAATCAGGAAGGATGCAATTTAATGGCATCCAACCAAATTTCCAGAAGCCTATGTACAAAAACACTGACTGATCAAAACTGCACAGAGACACTGATATATATGGCAAACACTCCCAGCTGTGCCACCCCACCTGGCACCTGGCACCCAGACAATTTAGTTTAGACCTCAAAATCCTAAACCTGCAGAAGTGCCCCATTTTCCCTCATTATATTAATTGATTAATAATAATATTATTAGCCTAAAACAGTTTACCTCAGCCAAGAGGGCACACTCTATCTGTGCACATGCCAGGTACATTGCATATGTTGCATCCATTGTATTGCATCTTTTCAAGCAGGCTGGATGAAGTGGGTGTTTTGCCATTGTGTATGTATATGAGCTGCTTGTAGTGAATTTTTAGCTGTCAGGAAACGCCCTGCTGCCCCTTAATGTACCACACACACAAGATAAATACAGAGACAGACCGGATAAATTACATGCAGTGGCTTGGGTTGTGTGAAAAAGGATGTTGAAGTTGGTAAACAGCTTGGGAACCACTTGCACCCTGGAGCAGGAAACTCAAGCATGATTCTACTTCAACACAAATCTCTCGATGTAGAAAAATGATGTTGGACTTTGTTTCATGGTTGATCCCCTTACAGCTCCAAACACCACCTGGTACGAACCGTTTACTCCTATAAAGAGCCATGTGTTCTGTCACCCAAACACACTCTGTTTTATGTAATCTGCCTTAATTAACACTGGTTGAAACAGATTGTTGGTGCGGGTAGTTAGTGGCCAGTTCCAGCTTACAGCGCAGTTTATCTGGATATGGTGCATTCCAGCTGGATTAGGAAGCAGCTCACAACATGCCAGGCCCCCGAAACACACATATGTCTTTCTGTCTTTCTGACACAGCAATATTAGGAGTCATCTTGCGCCTTATAGCCCTACATAGATCTGCTGAACTGTTGTATCATCCTGACCTAGAAAGATTATTGTTTATGGGCACTTTGGGAGCGCCTATCAAACTTTTTGGATTGAATTGGTTCTTGTGAAACTGATCTACAGAGTCGCTATCTGGGGAACTGTTGTCAATTATATTTAAAAGACTGAAAAAAAACTCTTAAATCTTTGGTCGTATAACCTTTTATCCAGTTTTAATACAGTGCAGCACATGTGTCTTCTAGTTTTTTTTCTAAAAAGTTCACATTTTGGATGCTGTTTTCACTTAAACGCATTAATGTTTTTATTTAGATTTACCGGCATCTAGGTAATTCTTCAGCTACATTCTTGCAAGTGTTGGAAAGTAAATAGTTACATTTAGTCAAGTATTGTACTTAAGTACAATTATAAGGCAATTGTACTTATTTATTATTGTATATCCATTTCTGCTACTTTATACTGATACTCTACTCTAGTTCAGAGGGGAATATGGATTAGTCCACTACATTTATCTGACAGCTATTTTTTTTAGTTAATTTACAGATTTTAGATTTAGTATATAAAAATGATAAAATCAGTTTATAAAATATGATGCATCACCTCAACTGCATCATTAATAAGAATCCAGTAATGTAACACTGCTTAGTGTTTCTGGTGAATAACAAGTACTTTTAATTTTGATATTTTAAGGACATTTTGTTGCTAACTTGTTGCCTCTGTACTTTTGAAATCAGGACTTTCACTTTTACATTAATAGAGTATTTTTAAGAATTGGGATTGCTAGTTTTAATAGTAAATGATGACAATTCCATCTATATTCTTGCACACTGTAAAGTCTTGACCGGTACATAAAACCAAAAACTGTAAGTCAAGAAATGTACTGGATTTCTTGTTCCTTTTCTTTATGTAGTACATATGATACTGTGAAATTGTGATATACTTTTTTTCTTTCGTCTTATAGACTAATAGTCTAGTAATAGTAATTGGTAATAGCCCTGGTAGAGATATAGTGTAGTTTTGTACAGTATATAAATATACTATCATGTGTAAAACCTAGTGTAAAAACATGATGTATTTAATTATTTTTATGTTGACCTGTTATAGTGACTCAGTCATTCTGAGGGAAATTAATTCTTTAGAGTGCTGTATGAGGCAATGCTGCATAAGAGGCTGTGGGAAACACACACTCACACACACAAATTTTTTTTATTTTTCTGGCTGAGCTCTGTGTCACTGTTGGTCAGCCCCCCTTCCTGAGAGTGTGAGTGGGCTTCCTGGCGCATGTTGTGTCATTGCAGAACTCCCTCTGTAAGGAAGGAGAATCTGTTCCACACTTACACATACACACACACACACACACATATAAGCTCTCGTCATTTGTTTTGGTTTCCTGGCTCCCCAGCTGCTCTGACCCTTCCCTCCCCTCGTTTTCTCTTTCTCTGCTCTCCCTGGTCCATTTCAGTCCTCTGCTCTCCTCCCTGTGGTTGTGAGTGTGTTTTTGGGTGAGCGATGTGTTGTTCAGTGGGTTTTGCCAGGTCTCTGGGCCTGGCCCTGCTGCCTCTGGCCCTCTGCTGTATCCTGGCCAACCTGCTGCTGCTGTTTCCTATGGGAGAAATCACCTACATCCAGCAGGACCGCCTGGCCAGCTACATCTGGTACTTTGGTGGACTAGTAGGAGGTGGACTGATGGTGAGTCAAAAACTGCACTTCTGATCTAATTAGTTTAATGAAGCCATATGGTTAGTCGTGTGTTATATTTCTAGATTTTGGTACAGTCAAAATATTCTGATTTTTTTTTAAGATTTGGTCCATTTCTAGAGACAACCACACACTTAAGTCCCATTATTGTATTTTATCACCAAAGTTATTATAACTTCTATATCATGGAATAACGTTAACTTTACACAATCCAATCCAAACCAATCAGTTTCTTTAGCTTCAGCTTCTACATATATTTCATCATGTTATATAATATGGAATTTGTCTTATTCTATATAAAAAGTATTCCATCTTTGACTTTGCTTATGACAAAATAATCTTTTGAAGAAGTTTTGGTAACAAGAGGGGAAGGATTTTCTGGCAAACGTGGCATCATCTTTCCAGCTAAATGATCTAATTGGATTATTTTGCCTGGCAGAGGAGGATAAAACAGTGTGGATGTAGGTTTTAACTGGGGTCACTGGTAACACATGGGGGGAACTCAGAGAGAAATTAACTGAAACTAAAAGTTCTGAGATTCACTTTTCATCTGGAACCAAAGCGAGTAATTGTTTTTACCGCTGCATCTAAGACATTTTTTCTCATTCAAACTAAAATGAATGAGATCTTTGACAGTATTCGAGGCACATGACACCAAAACTCTCCACTGAGAGTTACTTTTAAAGCGGCATTTACTGCGTGTCACCTCCCTTCCTCCCTTATTCAGTGGTAGACGCTGGTACATGTAGATACAGTGTGTGCTATTATGTAGACTGAAGCCCCTTTTTCCCCTCAGTTTGTTTATTATATACAGCTGATGCTAATTCAAACTTATTTATGCTTTTAGCTTACTTTTCTCATCCATTTGGTTTACTGATATCTGTATGCAGGATAAGCTTTTGACTCCTAAAAACATGATTTTAGACCAAAAAGATAATTAAATGTCACTTATTTCCCCTTCAACACCATTCAGTCTGAGTGTGTTTGCAGTTGTTCATTGAGAACAATGGAGTGCTGTGTGAATTCACAGTTAATCCGTCTGCTCTACATGCTGCTGATCTGATGGGTTTATGCTCCGACTGAGCAGAAAGGAGCTGTTTAATTTGGTTTTAAGAAGGGACAGAGGAGAGATTGTATTTTCCCAGACAAGATTAACCTTGTTGACCAGCAGAACACTTGTGTTGGATACATAAAGCTTCAGTCTCTAAAATATTTACATTTTATTTTGTAGTTTGTTTGCAGTCAGTGCAGGAGAGAGGAAAACACTGCTCAGGACATTTTAGCACATAACTGAAATAGATACCATATTCTACACAGACTCTGCAAAGGAAATGGTACATGAAAAAGTAGATTATACACACAAATGAAAGGTTACCTAAAAGTAGATTATACACAACCAAACATGTGTCCTTTTCCACTACAACAGTAGGTTAATAGTGTGTTTCTGACCATTTCAAAGAAGGCGTGTCTCAGCTGCTCATATTTGACTTTCTTGTAAAGAAGAAGGACAATTTAATCATTAATTTCTGCAGAAGTTTAACGTAAAGCTGTCAAAACAAGCTAATAGTACAACAGGTTTTCAACATTTTAGTGTAACAGTGGGTTATTGTTAGAAATGTTTTTTATAGAGGTTATGAAATGGGAGACCAAACATTTCAAAAGAACGCAGAACAATGGTCAGAGTTCAGTTATGAGAGAGAGCGAAGTCGGAGCCTTGAAATGTTCCTGTCACATCCCCAAAATGACACTTCCTGCAGATGTTTCACAATAAAAGTGAGGGGATTGTGTCCCATGTGAGCTATGGATAAAGTGATGATACCTTTAAATCATTTAGAAATAAAGGCCTCTAATAAGAGCCTGTCTCACATAATGGCCTGGATCTTACTTCAGCTGAGATAAATAAAGGCCTTGCTCATTTTCCAGGAATACACAGTAGTTAATCTGTATTTGGGTTAGTCTGTCCTCGTCTATTGCATCTGCTAATAGGAGAAAGAGCTAATAGCAAGCAAGCACGTAGAGCAACATGAGACTGTGATTTTCATACATTTGTTTTTTTCTTTATGGTGTTTCCGTTCTTTGTGGCACACCAAAGAATCAAAGAGCAAACTGAACCCCTCTGAGAGAAATCTATCTTTAGCTCCCTCCCTCCCTTCCTCTCCATCACTCTTCCTCCCTCCTTTTTCCTCCTTTCCTTTCTTGCTGTGCACTTCCCTCTGTATTGTCAGTCTCTCACTCTGCTAAAAGATATAGCGTTTTAAGGGGGACATCCAGGATGTGTATGTAACGATGCCTATGATCTTTGTGTACGTGTGTGTGTGTGTGTGTGTGTGTGTGTAAAACCTTGGGAACTTCCCCCCTCTGTTAGGATCTCATCCTTGACTGCTGGGAAAGAGATAACAGCACAGGAAGGAGGAGAGGAAAAGGGGAGGGAAAGATAGTAAAAGAGTGAGAACCCTGAATCAAACAAATATAGGACTGCCAGCAGTTATTTTGCAGTAAGGCCCTCCACACAACTACACTGTACTTAAGATTAAATATGATTTATGATGGATATTTCTATCAATATGCCATGTCCTCACTTAAATATGGTCCCAAGAGCATGAATCCTAATGACCTTGGTGATCCCCAGCCTTTTTATGTAGCCGTTTAGGATGTCTTTCAACCTCATTTGTAAATGTTAATGCTAACATAGCATGCTACCAATCAAAGGCTATGTCTAAATAATGCCCCGTTCACTGTATAGTGCACTATATTTACCCTCCTCCGTGTAGTTGGACATTATACATACTATTTTATTCAGTGTTAGTGAGAGCAAAGCCTAAGTACAGCTGATGCTGACAAAATGTGACTGCTAAAGGTGGAGCCAAATCAGAGATTGTAAAAAATGTCCTAAAATGTCCGCCATATAGAGAATAAAGATAACAAGGCCTTTATACTGACAACACCCTCAGGCCAAAGTTTACATTTTGTGCCGGACTAGTGGTAAATCTCTAATAGCAAAGTTGTTTTTCTGTTTTAATCCATCCAGCATCAGAGTCTAATGCGCTTTAAAGGCTTGTGTTGCTTGTGTCACTATAGCTGTAGGTTATTGGTGTTTTAGGTTAATTTAATTAAAAACATTTAACTTTAGCATGTATATTAACTATTGTGATTTTCTTATGATAAAAGTTTCAGTGTGCGTCATTTCGTTAAAACAACAACAACAACAACAACAACAACAACAAAGAATGTCTTCCTTCAGAAATTGAGCAATATTATTTTCTGTGCTTCCAGATGCTGATTCCAGCTGTGGTCTTCATCACTCTGGGGAAATGTAGCTGCTGCTGGAATGAGAGCTTAATGGTAAGGGACCAGGCTATCAATAATACTCATAATCTAAAAGAGGAACCCTATGCTAAGCTAAGTTTGAATTAAAAAACGGATTTTACGGTCTAGCTAAGATCCAGGAGGGATGAAACTGATACTAAGCAAATGTTTGGTATGAAAGTCCCATATGGTGTTTAAATTGGTTTAGTAAAATGCTCAGTGCAGCCTTGATGATGTGTTTATATATTTCTGTTTGCTCCATACACATGCAATCAATATGAACTATATTTTAGTTTCAGTTGCTGTTTTCCTTCTTCATAAATCACAATATAAGGCTTATTGGGCCGTTATAGACCCTTATTGGGTCTTTCACTCCTTGTAACTCTTCACAGTGTCCCCATTTTCCTGTTGTGTGTGTTTTTTTTACTGGACTTTGAGAATAATACTGTACAGTTGTCATTAAGCCAGCTAACACTGTGTCCTTATGAGGTGGAATGCTAATGCTAATCCAGCTATGACAACTCAACAAGGGTCCCATTGTTACTTCACACTTAACACAGTAAGCTTGGCTCACACCACTCAAGCCACATGCACAGCTGCAGTTGTGGATGTGTGTGTGTGTATGTGTGTGTGTGTGTCTGTAGCAGCTGCCTCTTAATTTATATATGAAATGGATATATGAATCAGCTTTTTACATTTTTACAGACAGACAGTTACAAATCCAAACACATGCACCTTCTTCTCTAAAATCACTTTGTGTGTCTGGGTTGCTCTCCAGATGTGCGGATCAGTGTTGGCAGCTGTGGTTGGCCTGGTGGGGTCTGGTTACTGTTTCGTCATATCAGGATTCGCCTTGGTGCAGGGACCTCAGTGCTTCACCTCTTTCGGATGGTCTTACCCCTTTGCAGACCAGGGGGGCAGGTAGGGAGATGCAAAGTGTGGTAGCATGGGGGTGTATAAACAAATGAGAAAGTGCAAATACAGTGTATGTGTATGTCGTTTATGGCTGTAACCAATGATCATTTTATTGTCAAAAAAAAATATTTTTTTATTTATTTATTAAGAATTTTGTCTATAAAATATCAACAAATAATGAAAAAACATCTTACAATTGTTTGTTTTATCCAACCAACAGTCCAAAATCTGATAAAAGATTGCTACATTAATATAATAATTATATTATAACTAATAAATCTAAATATTACGTGCCTCCATCTTATTTCTGTACATCAGGAATTGTCATGTATTATTGTTTACTTATGTCATTTAATTCATTAGTGTGTACCTACAGGTACTAGTGTCTCTACTAATCTCTCTCTGTGTGTCTCCAGGTATCTCCTACAACCAGAGAATTGGTCGCAGTGTCGTCAGCCGGTTCATATCGTAGAGTGGAATGTGACTCTGCTGTGTGTGTTGCTGGGTCTGGCTGTGCTGGAGTTCATCATCTGTCTCTTGCAGCTGGGAAACGGTTTGGTCAACGCCGTCTGCCGGCCCTGTTGCTATAAGCAGGAATATAGTCTTAATGCTTAGACAAACACACACACACACACACACGTGTATGTAGACGCACCTGCAGAGACACAAGAGCATGTGCACACATCAAAAAATGTACACACTCAACATGTATGCACACGCACAGGACATTTATGGACACACGCGGACGACTGCACACACGGCCTAATTGCCTGGCATTGTGTGTGTGTGTGTCTGTGAGTACAACACAACTTATCTACTTACACACTTACATAATGTATACAGTATCATGGACACCTGACAGCCATGTAAGTGCAACCACTATATTTTCAAGCTTTTATTTTGCCCTGTTAAAGGGGCAAAAATGACTGCAGTCATTGAGGATGATGAGTTTTTTATTTTTATTTTTCAAAGGCAACAGGTATTCAGTCCATAATAATATGGATGTGTGTGTGCATGTCCTGATTACTCACAAACAAGAGGATGCAACTTACTTTGTACCCGGTGAAAGGAGGTTAAGAAGACCAACATGTACAAATAATAAAGACAAAGAATCCTTGATATTAATAATAGTATTAGCAGCTTTACGGGGTAGTAAGTTTCAATGAAGTATTTGCCAGCAGTGTGTGAAACAAAGAAAACTGAAACCTAAATGTGCCTTATTTGTTTTTTAATGTCAAGGTTCCTCACTTATTATTATTTGTGTACTTTGTATACCTTCATAAACTCAACAACTACCCTACCATGTGTATTGCATAAAGAAATAATACAACAGTTTAAATCATTGTCATGACACTAGTATGCTTAGTGGAAGATGGCAGCCGTGTATTGTTTGATAATGTTGGAAATTAAGTTCTTGTGGAAATGTATTTACAAGAAGAGATTTCCATTGTTTTAGTCTGTCATCAGCATGTTGGCTGACATTATTATTTGATGCACCAGGAAGTGCCCATCTGTCCTTTTCTTGTGCTTCCAACATTTATACACTCTGTTGGATCACTAATTGATTACAACAACCCTTAAGTGTTGCATCACTTCAGGATTAGGAGCAGATTTGTGTGTCTATTTGTATATTTGTTGTCATTTTCAGAGCATTTTGTTGTAAATTGTTTTCTTTACATCTTTTGGACGCTAGATCAGTGTTAACAGACATTTTATATATATTTTAGTGACATATTTTTATAATGTATGTATGTTTGTGCTGCCTTGAATAAAAAAAAACTATTTCCAGTTTTTTCCATTTCCAGAGTTATTAAGTAGAAGCTTCAGGTTCAAATTTGTAGACAGGACCTTCACACTCCAATCACACTCTCCAAAATCCCCAAAGATGTCAGTGTTATACGGTGTTATTATGTAACACGAAGCAGAGATACAGTAGATGTGTGTCTGTGTGAGTGTGTGTATTTGTGCTTGACCCTCCTCCTGCAAGTCCTCCAAACAGTTCCTGTAAATGAAATGTTTATCCAATATCCTCTTTGTAGTTCAACCTCATTGACCACTCACTCACTGAAGAGGACGGTCTCTGACACAAATGCAACATAAACTTACGTCTGACAGGTCAAAATGTTGGTTTGTGTACGTCTGTGTGTGCATACAGGCTGCTCCGTGTGTTGTAATCAATTCCCGGACCAAAGTTTCTGTCCTGGAGTTTCCAGAGTTGCCTGCTATTGATCTACACTAGATTGAGCCAAATGTGACCAAGCCCATTATGTAAATCTTAAAAAGTCCCTATAAGAGTGTGGCTGAGAGGAGAATATTGCAGTCTTCAAAAGGATGTACTTTTCTGTCACATCATGAATTAAAAACGTCTTATAAACCTTAAAGCAATAATAAACCAGTCTTGAAAGTGAATTAATTGTCTGATCAACTAAGTGTTACAATAATAAACTGCTAAGCTTGGTTAAACTGATTAGTTCAACACAGTGAAATACACACATTTAGGCAAGGGAATCAATTTCTCTTCCAGTATTGAGAGGATCAAAAGTCAGATTGTTTGAATCATTGCCTAAACATGACTATGCCAGATTTGTGGCTGCATTTCCACAATCACAAAAAAAAAGACAATGGTAGAGATCTTTTAAAAGAATATTCCAACCAAAAGAAGAAACTACATGAATTCTGATGTAAATGTAACTTAAATCTGATCTTTTTTTAGGGCAATCAATCTGAATGAATCTGACGCTGGGTAAAACACTTTCTGTTCTTATGCAACTTTTGATCAAACAGAAAGGTTGGCTCGAACCTTATCTGTTGGTCAGTGACCCCCACTGCTTTCCCCAGCTGTCAGTCAGTTATAAAGACATGCAGAGGGTCTAAAGTGTCTCAGACAGACTGACTGACTGATTAACGCCTGTCAGTTATCTGCACTGTTTGTCTTCATCATCATCATCATCTGCTGGATTAGTGAATAGAAATAAAGACTCATCTCCTTCAGTTGGCAGTTCTACTGTGGACTTGTGGTTGTATCGTCTCATCTTTAAAATGCATCGGTTGGGGTTGAGGGGAGCCTTGCTGCTGTGTTGTGCAGCAGTATGTGTGTCTGGGGTGACGAGAGAGTACTTCTTCAGGATAGAGGAGGTGTCTTGGAACTACGCCCCAAGTGGGATGAACATCATTCAAAACCGCACTCTGCAGGAGGATGAGTAAGTATGACTACAGTACATTGTCTTGATTATGTTGGTCTCAGTCAGTGAACCCCTCCTGGAGCTCATCCAAACTACAGCAGCGTTGGTATCAAGAAAAAAAGACCACATTTCTCCTGTGTTATTTCTACATTTAGATTTGTTTTTAAAGCAATAGATACATTGGCAACTACTATAATCTCATCCTCTATTCTACCTTTCACAGTAGCACCAGTAGCCATTCTTCCTCCAGACATTTTTTGCACCAGACTTCTTACCAGTTTATGCCTGAAAGATTACTTATTCCACATCTATTGCCATTTTTAAGTATCATATTATCAGGACTAAAATCTAAATCTAATTCTTAGACTTAGAATTAATTTTTTAGCCAATCCAATTGGATTTCAAATGGTTTATGTAGCTTCTTGACATATAAAGGGGCACTTAATCCTTTAATTGTATCAGTATCAAATCAGGGATTTACTTACTTTTCTTTGGGCAGTGATATGTTTCTTGTATATTCTATATTTAATGCACTCTCTGTGCAAGAGGCATTTTACATTTTTTCATTTACCTGTTTAATAAGTTACTTGTGTTTCATATAAATTAATTTTTTATACTTTTTAACCTTTTGGTAAAGCACTTTGACTAGTATGTTTTTTTTATGTAAGCCTACTTTTAAATAAACTGACTTGATACATGCAAAAACACACATAAATGTAGCTAAATAGTTTTACACAATCATTAATAAATACCTGCAGAAAACAGCTGCATAGAACAGCACAAGCTCTTTCATTCATTCACATATATGCACATACATAGGTATGTGAAGGCCTCACAACAACTGGTCAGATATTGGTTACACACACTCACACATGACAGCACACATGCATTAGATTTGCAAATTGAAAAGACCAAGCAGAATTAAAGTGGAAAAAGAGTTTGGGTACTGTTTTTGTTTTGTTCACATATCGTATAGTACCTGCATAAATGTATGAATATGTGCATGCCTCCTGATGGTTGCCTGATCTAAATAATCAATTCAACCTAATCAATCAAATCAAAAATGTCTGCTTTATAAATGCCTAATCATATATTTAAGTATTTATTACTGTGTTTTTTCAGTAACCTTAGCCAAATACAGGTGTTTTAAATATTTTAAATGTAATCCATAATAGATACACATACAGACACATTTCTCTCTCTCTCTCTCTGTAGAGAAGCCTCTGTGTTTTTAAAAAAAGGCCCCCAGCGTATTGGCCCCACCTATAAGAAAGCTGTGTATAAGCAGTACAGCGACGCCACCTACAGGACGGAGGTGACGAAGCCGGACTGGCTGGGCTACCTGGGGCCGCTGTTGATGGCCGAGCAGGGGGACACATTGATCATCCATCTGAGAAACATAGCCTCCAGACCTTACAGCATCCACCCACATGGACTGAACTACAGCAAGGGCAATGAGGGTGAGGAACTAATGACTTGAAGCACAAATCAATGCACAAGCAGACTTAACAGACTGATAGATGACTTTGTGTTTGTCTCTTCAGGAGCCCTATACCCAGACGGTACCAATCCTGAGCTGAAGCGTGACGACTCAGTGGCTCCTGGTACAACAGTGAGATATGAGTGGACCCTCCCAGAGAGCCATGGCCCAACGGCAGAGGATGACAACTGTCTCACCAGATTCTACCACTCCCACGTCTGCCCACCGAAAGACATCAACTCAGGACTGATAGGACCCCTCATCATCTGCAAGAGAGGTACTGGAACCTTTTTTTATAATATCCAGTAGTAGAAAGAAAGAAAGTCAAGTACTGTACAATTTTAAAGTACTTTAATTTATTCATTTATGTCATTCTTACTTTTCATGATGCATTCATTACAGTGAATTACATATCATTAAGTTTTATGACATACTTTAAAGTTGCTGGAAATTATTTTGTTATCACATTAAATATGCATGACTAAATATCAAAGTTTGACAAAAAATAAGATATTTAGGTACTTGTTAGTTCAACACTAAACACCCCAGCTAATCTGTGTCATCAGGACTGTGAGTGTGGTTTGGTTGCTGACAATTAAATATGATCAAACAACCCAACTGTCAACAGATCCCTTTTCCTAAACCCACCCACTTTAAGAAAAAACAGAAACAGTGAAATATCTTATGTGAAATAATCAAAACTCTTCATACTTTGGCTGAAGATAGTCTGTCTGTGTTGAATCCTTTCAATAATGGTAAGAAGTTAATTAGGAAAATAACTATTCAGGGCCTTTAAGTGGGTTTACCTTCAGTAATGCACAAAAATCGCCTCTCCTCTGTAGGAACTCTGGACGTACATGGAGACAGGTCAGGAGACTACATGTATGCTCTGCTGTTCATGGTGTCAGATGAGAACTTCAGCTGGTACCTGGATGACAACATCAGGACATACATTACAAATCCTGCCCAAGGCCTGAAGGAGAATGAAGATTTCATTGAGAGCAACAAAATGCACGGTGAGGGAGAGCATCCACTTCCATATCCACTAACCCCTACAGATACACACAGACATACCTTTAACTCTAAGTGTGGATTGCAGGTATAAATGGTTTTCTGTACGGTAACCTGCCTGGACTGAGCATGTGTCAAGGCAACAAGATCCATTGGCATATGATTGGATTAGGCAATGAGGTAACTATTGCATTACTACTACTACTACTACTACTACCAGAATATCTGATGGTACAGGGATTCTTAAAAATTAACATAACATAACAAAAACAATTTTAATGTTTCATGTTTTAGAAAATGTTTCCAAAGAGTCTAGTTTACTTTAAGAACATAACAAACCAAAATGATATACTACTAAGCTGTTAATTCTTATAAATGTTGTATAAGATGCTAAGTGTATTTAGAAAGCTTTGTCAGCCTGTGTGGGACAAGATATTCACCTTGAAGTATGCTAACTAGACAGTCACACATGTAAATATAGTATCTGTAAATATAGGTCTCACAGTTACTGTTGTTCAAATGAAGTGCTCTTTACATATTCAAAACCTTTTCAGGACGAGTTAGTTAGTGAACGTTTTGTAGCTGAAAATTCAGTCGCACTCTTTCACCAATGTTTTTTAAGACACTTGTTCTCCCTCTAATTATGTCCTGTTTATGATGATGGTTTGTTTAAAAACAGTATAGTATGTATACTGCTTATATTTTGCTTTTCACTGCAGTCGAATGCTTCTAACTGAATTAAGCCTACATCATGTCATTGGTGTACAAGCACACGCTGTAAACCCAGTTGAAATGTAATCTATCTACAACAGGTGGACATGCATTCAGTTCATTTCCATGGCCAAATCCTGACCATTCAGAACCACCATACAGACACAGTCAGCCTTTTCCCTGCGGTCAGCACTACAGCTGAAATGGTGGCTGACAACCCCGGACACTGGCTGCTGACGTGCACCGTCAACGATCATTTGATGGGTGAGCTGACATCCTCCATTCCTAATATGAGGCCAGTCATTTCATAAAGATGATGATGAGTATAATTCAAGCATTCAATATGGTTTTATTGTTGCATATTATTTTTGTTTTGTGGTTTTGTCTAGCTGGAATGCAGGCGATATTTGAGATCAAGA